AGTACAGTTACTTGTAAGCCTTATCTAGTGCCAGGCCAAGAGTCTGACTCGCTTTCAGTTCAGTCCAAAATTGCGTTGAGCTTATGCTAAATATCATTGGAGAAGGTCAAGCGTGACTCAGTTGTTAACAATGTCCTGAGGCTATGTGATATAGGCCATATATGTGGGTGTGGTTTAGTGTGCGATGCTAGTTAGATATATGACTAGCTACTTTTATTATGGACAATTTGTTAAAGTTGTTTTTCCCCCAGGTGACATTTTGATGACTGCGCCTCGAGATAGGAAGTTATTCATGCGCCCTTGTTTTGCCGTTTCACTGTTTTACTTATTAAATACACAAACAATATATATAAATGTGCGTCGCAAGTAATTACATATATATATATATATATATATATATATCAGCATCAGTATTATTTTCACTGGTCAATGACTGCGCAGCGCAGCGATCGCTTCCCTTTGGCTTGACTGCAATTTATGAATGAATCTGCAGTGCAGGTGAGTGGAAGTAGGTGTCGAGGCACGTTTCCATCTCAAGTGATTTCTTTTGTTGTTCATGCTTCACACAGCGACGCTCATAAACGATATTAATAATAAGAATGGTGATGATGATGATGATGATAATGATAATCATGGGTATGATATAATAGAGTTTCTCATTAGTTTCAACAGGAAATGAAGTCGCTTTGAAAGCTTCAGTTTTTTTTTATTGTTTAATGATGATCGAAGTTCGGAATCCCATTTGAGAATAGTTATTATTTACATTTAGCTCAAGTACAATAGGAAATAGGAACAAATATGCAAATTTGCAGACTGAGAATTGCCTGTTTAAACTATATTTAATAATATACATAAATATTGGCCAGCACATAAATATATATTCCTCATTAACTGAGCCCTAAATAGCCATAAAGTTGACTCAGCCAACGGCTCGAATTACTCACTTGGAAACCAGAAATTCACGCTATTCTAGATTGTGCCTTACGACTTCATATGGAAATACAGAAAGAATTTCAGCTCAACTAAAAATAACTAAAAAACTAAAAACTAAAAAATGAAATAAATGTGAAACTTTGTAAACAAAACTTAAGATGGGAAATGAAGAGCGTATTAAATGCCTTTTCCTTCCTTTTGTTACGTAGATCCGTCTGTCCGTCCTTCTGAGAACCCAGAAAAACTCGATACTTCTCTAACACGCAGATCAAATTCATTTCAATTAAACCATATTGAGCTGTGAGCTACAAGCGGCGTATACTTAATAAAAAGAGAGAGGGAGAGGGAGAAATTGAGATATTGATATATTGAAATATTGAGACATTGAAACATTGAGATATTGAGATTTTGATATATTGAGATATTGAGGTATTGATATATTGAAATATTGAGATATTGATATATTGAAATATTAAGATATTGATATATTGAAATATTAAGATATTGATATATTGATATATTGATATATTGATATATTGATATATTGATATATTGATATATTGATATATTGATATATTGATATATTGATATATTGATATATTGATATATTGATATATTGATATATTGATATATTGATATATTTTCTTGCTCTCTTGCTCTCTTCGCTATGCTCTTGCTCTCATTGCTCTCTTGCTATCTGCCTCTTGCTCTCTTGCTATCTTGCTCTCTTCGCTTCTTGCTCTTTGCTCTCTTGAGCTATTGCGCTCTTAATCTATTGAATCTATTGATATATTGATATATTGATATATTGATATATTGATATATTGATATATTGATATATTGATATATTGATATTGATATATTGATATATGATATATTGATATATTGATATATTGATTATATTGATATATTGATATATTGATATATTGATATATTGATATATTGATATATTGATATATTGATATATGTATATATGATATATTGATTAATGATATATTGATATATTGATATATTGATATATTGATATATTGATATATTGATATATTGATATATGTATATTGATATATTGATATATATTGATCTATTGATATTTGATATATTGATATATGATATATTGATATATTGATATATTGATATATTGATATATTGATATATATATTGATATATTGATATATTGATATATTGATATATTGATATATTGATATATTGATATTTTGATATATTGATATATTGATATATTGAGAAATTGATATATTGATATATTGATATATTGAGATTTTGAGATGTTGAGATATTCAGATATTCAGATATTCAGATAATGTGATATTGATATATTGAGATATTGAGATATTAAAATATTGAAATATTGAGATATTGAGATATTGATATATTGAGATATTGATATATTGAGATATTGAGATATGGAGATATTGAAATATGGAGATATTGATATATTGAGATATTGAGATATTGAGATAGAGAAAGAGAAGACATTGAAATAGAGAGAGAAAGGAGAGGGAGAGAGTGTCAAAGAGGGGGGAGAGAGATCAAATGCTTATTGAAGAGCTCGCATATCAAGACATTTTGTTATTGTCCACAGTAAGAAATTGGATAATTTATATGGCATTATTATGTCTGAGTCGGAGTCGATGTTTACTCGAGTTGCAGTTGGATTTGTTAAGTTATACCCTGGCAGTCTAACCAACACACTCACACACACACAGTCCGGGTGTGTGTTTCGGTAAACACAGACGGAAGCGTCGAGGGATATCGCGACGCTTGCTTTGCATATTTGTGGCTCATTATTGTCATTAGAGTCTCGTTAACCAAATAAATAGCGTAAAGCCTTTTAGCTTTTTGGCTTTTAGCTGATGAATGGACTGCACTTTTATAGTGAGTCAGCGGCTACGCCTTGGCCTCTGCTCAAATGTCGCAGGCGAAGAGTTTTTATTGGACGTCGCCGAGCAGCAGAGTTTATTTTTGCGAACGCAATCACGTAATGCTTAAGTGCAAGCGAGCCCAAAAATGTGTTAAGTATACGTCAAGTGCAACGGGCGCTGCTCTGCCGCATTGGGTTCCCATAAACTAAGCGAAGCAATCACATAAATCAATAACTGAATCTGATCAGGTTGTTCTTGATGCTGTTGTTGTTGTTGTTGTTATTGTTGATGCGAGTCAATAATCTTCCCAGGGCAGAGCATTTACAGTTAACCAGCTCGTTTGGCCTGGGTGCAGTCGCCGTCGCCGTCGCCGTCGCAGTCCGTGGCACTGCCTTATCAGTCAACAGTGTTGGCCCCGCCATAATGAAACTGTTATTGACAGCGCATAAATATTTACGTTTGCCATCCGAGTAAGTCTGTATCTGCATCTGCATCTGCATCTGTATCTGTATCTTTTATATTGTATCTTTGTGTCGCTCGTATCTTGTGCGCCCACCTTTCGCAGCAAATATTAGCTTTGAACATTGCAATTATTGTAATTAATGAGATTGGCGCAGCTGCTGCCTCATCTGCAGCGGATTCTTGGCTCGCTTATCAACAAGCGCGGAGAAAAAACAAAGGCAAATAATAAAGAAAATAAACTGAAAAAATCACGCTCTCGCAGCTGAGACGTGGAATTTGTGGCTGCAGGTCGCTGCTCGATATTTCCACTCAATGCTCGGCAGCATCATCAGCAGCATCATTGCTATGATATTCAAAACTGTTTGGCTTCAGCTTTGACCCTCAGCTGCAAGAAATTGCGCTGACTGCGTCGCCGCGACGTCTGCCACTTTGTGGGAGCTCAAACCGGTAGCCCGTGCCGCCTATGGATCTGCCTCTGAGACAACTGACTGTGCGCCTGCTTTCGTTTCAAGTACTTTCCCTTTAAATCTGGATCTTTTTGCTTGCAAGTTCCACAGCCAATCAGAGCGATCAATTAAACATGAATACCAAACTAACCCAGGTCTGTCTCAATACTCATTTATTCGAATGGAAAACCTTACTCAATCGACGTTCGTTTGACTGACATACTGCAAAGAGAGCACAAATTCTAAGTCATGAAATGCTATTGATAATGATAATGGTCCTGTGTAATCGTCTCAGACTTGTAATCAGTCAGTTCATCACTCTGACTGCATTGGCTGCTTTCCGATTAGAAAATCTCTCCTCCTCTTTCGTGGACTGCCTCACAGCTTGACCTGCCAGGTGCAACCCTTCTATGTGCTCTATCTGTCTACAGAGATTTATATCTATATCTTTATCTATAAGTTTGCATGTCTAAAATGATCTTTATGCATAAAGGTAACACGATCGTTGGTTGAATATGAGCTTTGAGGTTTGGTAAGGGCTGCAGGAAGAGTGTGCTGTGGTCAGGAATGCTCGACAGCAAATTGCCCTGTAAGCAGAGTCCATCGTTTTTTGTCTATGAGAAGTGAAGTTGACTTAGAGATCTGATTGCTATGGAGCGATGCAAGCAGATCAGGTCTGTTGTTGGCGACTCGATCTGTGATTGCTTTTAAAGTTGATAGTCTGTATGTCATGCATGTACACTATAGGATAGGTATAGGGTATACCTATGAACGAGCAGCTAACAGACATCGCTTCGAATTTCTGCAAATTGAATTGTTTCTTTGTGACGCTGGTGGGCTGTGCGAACCGGTTGGCAGCCCGAGTGAGATCTTTGCATTAGAGACTTGCCAATTACAACAATTACAACAGTTACGACAATTACAACGATGACGGCACACGCAACAGCAACAGCAACAGCGAATATGAAGCTGCTGCTGTCTCATATTGCGCATACGCAGCGTTGCTGTACACCATTCGCTGCCCGCTGCCCGCTGCTCGCGATTGTCTTTGGCGTTGACAAATTCCTTCGCTTCTCTGTGCTGCAGTTTGCAGTTTACAATTTGACGTTCTTGCTGTTTTTTCACTTCACATTTTTCCGCTTTCCCATGCACTTTTCCAGTTATGCTTCAACATTTGCCCGGTTAGGTTCGCCTCGCATCGGTTTCAGCTCGCGATATTCGCTTCATTTTTTTTTCTGTTTTCAATTCGTCGCTTGTTGCTTATGTTGTTTTTGTTGTTTTTGTTGTTTTTGTTGTTGTTGTTGCTGTTGCCGCTGCCAACCCAGCGCTGGCCCTCAAAGTGTTAATTGGCAGGTGTTTGTCGAGCGGCCGCCTTGGTACTTGACAGCCGGCTGCTCGTCAGCCAATTGGTTTATAAGTGTATTTATATATATATATAGAAAGAAAAACAATAGAATTCATTGAAATAAACAAACAGAAATAAAATAAACACACAAAGCACGTGCCTTTGCCCCTTTGTTGGCTGCCAACAGGCGCCAATAGTCGCAGCGGCTTATCAGCTGCGGCTCAAGTGCATGCGAAAATCTCGTGATGCGCAAACGCCAACGCCCCACGCTCCACGCCCCACGCCTCAAGCCTCCACCGCCCGTTGATCAATGCATATTGATAAGCGACGAGCGTGCAGCTGTTCTGCTTTGTTATAGCAGCTGCAAATTAAGTATACGCCGCACTGGCCAGCCTCAAGTCGATGCGAACTGTCGGCCACAGCGAAGCGATTAGAAAACATGTATTTCGAAAAAATGTGCATAAATTCCAGACAGAAAAACTGCAAGAAAATCAATCAAACTCAACTCAGAGCCAGAGTCATTTAAGCTACTATTGAGATTTGTGAACTTCGATAAGTGCGAGCTCTAAGCAAGCTGCGATGACCACGTTTCAGATACCCTTGTTGCCCGCTTTCTATGCATTTTCACTACAATTGATTGCGGCCTTTCAATGAGTCGCTATTTCCAGCGAAGGTTGTTCGAGTTTTTCAGTTTTTACCCACTTAAAATGCGGGCTCAGGGTCACGGGGCGTGGCAGACGCCATGAAGTATCGAACCGAGTCGACGTAGCTCAGTCCATTCATATGACTTGAGCTCTTGCATGCATATTCCCACAGACAACACTTGATTCCGATAACTCAACTCATTTACGTGTTATCGATACTAATCGATCAGTTTCTTTTGTCAAGCAAAGCTTGCTGAACTTCAGGGTATATCCAAGTCGGACACTCTTACTTGCTTCCGCTCTGCATGAGGCACATGAGACAGTTTCCAACGCTTGCCACAGCTCAAGAGCTGTTTTATGCTGTCTGCTCGGAGAGCCTGGAACATAGTTGAAAGAAATAAAAAGTAAACAAATTAGACAATTGATTGCCGGCGCTGGCAAGTGCTCTTGGACAGTCAAATGAAACAATCATAAGACATTCAATTGATATCAATAAAGCGCGCACGTCACGCAGCCCAAACAAATCGAAATTCCTAATCGAATTTCCCATCAAAACTCATACGAAATGCGCGCCGTCTACGATCTGTTGCTGAGCAACGCCTTCGATCCCAGGTACGCATAACAGTTACACCTCACCAAGACCGTCCACTAGAGCTAATCGGCCAAACGATGCTCATAGACTCAATTATCATTTGAAGCCAAATGATTTTATGGCACACGACGCAGAAACAATTCGAAATTTGAAAGATAAAAAAGTTAAATCTATGCAACAATTTATTTATTCATGAATCAACTTAATTTAATAAAATAAAAATTAAAATTTAACAAATTTAGAAATTTGAGCTCGGGTTCAGAACAATATCTTCTAGCCACAAAGTTAAGGCTTTTTGCCTGAGCCATGATTTCTTAAGCTAATCTCAAAGCACAGTAAAGCAAACTAATCTCGGTACAGCTGCTTGCGTTTGGGAGCAGAGCTTCAAAGTTGTTCGCTTGATGTTCCCTTTCAAGATTTTTTGCTTTTCAAAGCTGATCTTTCTATAAGCTGCTGAGCTTAGGTGCAGGCGCTTTCTTCGTCCTATAGCCAGGGTACTTAGGATTAGGTCCTAGTCAGAGTCTAAATATCAGTGAAGTTATATTACAAATTATATCAATTCTGGCCAAGTTAGCCAGAGCGCTGAAATCTAAAATATATATTTAGTACAAGTTTAACAATATCTCATACTTATCAATAAATATTGATATTATGAGTTGAGCATGACGTGAAGACTTAGTCTTCGAAGAGTGCTGAAGACACGCATTTTGCTTAAATGATGCTTATTGCATCCATATTGAATAGAAAACTTATTCCATAAAGAACTAATATCAATTTGTTTGGGTATCTCCTAGTCGAGCATTGCCGATATTGAAAAGAAAACTTATTCCATAAAGCATTCATATCAATTTGTTTGGGTATCCCTAGTCGAGCATTGCCGACATTGAATAGAAAACTCCATAAATAACTATATCAATTTGTTTGGGTATCTCCTAGTCGAGCATTGCCGATATTGAAAAGAAAACTTATTCCATAAAGCATTCATATCAATTTGTTTGGGTATCTCCTAGTCGAGCATTGCCGATATTGAAAAGAAAACTTATTCCATAAAGAACTAATATCAATTTGTTTGGGTATCTCCTAGTCGAGCATTGCCGATATTGAAAAGAAAACTTATTCCATAAAGAACTAATATCAATTTGTTTGGGTATCTCCTAGTCGAGCATTGCCGATATTGAAAAGAAAACTTATTCCATAAAGCATTCATATCAATTTGTTTGGGTATCTCCTAGTCGAGCATTGCCGACATTGAAAAGAAAACTTATTCCATAAAGCATTCATATCAATTTGTTTGGGTATCTCCTAGTCGAGCATTGCCGATATTGAAAAGAAAACTTATTCCATAAAGAACTAATATCAATTTGTTTGGGTATCTCCTAGTCCAGCATTGCCGACATTGAAAAGAAAACCTATTTCATAAAGCATTCATATCAATTTGTTTGGGTATCCCTAGTCGAGCATTGCCGACCAGAGCACTCGCTCTCAGTTGCCTTTTGCTAGTGCCTACACTATTTCAGCATTGTGAAGCTCTAATCGAAAATGAAACTCATTCGTGTGGAACTCTTTTTGTCTCTTCTTACGACAGCATGGTGCTACAGAACCACAATACCGTGGTGGCTCGCTCCACTTTGACGCCGAACAGCAGCAGCCAGAACTTTGGCGCGCACTCGTCACATGGCGGACAGGCGACGGGCGGCAGCGGCGGACGCAGTCCTCTGAATGCTGGGCCAGGCAATCAGCGTCCCATTGTGGATCTGCTGGTGGCTATGGTGGCTGTGCCGGTGCTAATACTGTGCGCCCTGCAGCTGGAGAAGAATCTGCACGACATGCACAACAGCCCCGAGTCGCGGTGGCTGGTCTTTGCCCTTGGCATCGGGATGCTGGTCATCAGTGTGATCATCTGCGGCTATGTGACACATCGCATGGGCGTCTGCATTTGGGCCGGGCCCATCGACGAGGCGGGCAATCGTCCCGGCAACGGTGCACTGCATCACGTAAGTCATTCACTCAACCCACATGAGCTCTGTGATGTGCTTAACCGTGCCAATCCATTGCAGATCAACTCCCAGAATGATGTGCTACGCATTGTGGATTCGCTGCCGCCGAGCTATGAGAGCGTGGTGAAATGCGAGCTGCCGCCGCCCCCCTACGACTGCGTTGTGATCGACGTGGAGCAGCGCAAGGATATGCAGCCGCAGACATCCACCAAGGATGCGCGCGCCTCTCAGGCGGCCGGCTCCAATTCCAATTCCATTTCCGTACCCGTTTCCGTTGCCATGCCAGGCGCCACGCTGCACATCTGAATGGGATGGGAGCCGAGGGAGGAGAGAGAAACAAAGAGATTTTTCGCTTGTGGCATTGAATTGGACCAGCAATGGGACTTGTACTTCACCTACTGCATTGGCGCCATCTATCGGCGGCCTCTGGCTATTGGCTAATCATATGGCGTTGTATTTACTACAGTTTAAGATCTTAGAGTATTGTTATCTATATCGACCTATATCTGTGTATGTAACCATCTAGAGAAAGTTTTTTTTTTTTGTCTTTAATTTGTTTGGTCTGTGCAGCAGTGTAAATATTCCTAAACAGCATCTAGTCCAAAGTTGTACATAATATACAAAAGAAGAAGCAGCAATCGTATCAGCTAGTTCCATAGAGAAATGCGCAGAATACGTTTTGTATTTATTAGTTGTTTAAATGCCAAGATTGTAAAACGTAACCGAGTGGGGACTGGGACTGGCAGTGGGAGTGGGAGAGGGAGGGCTGCACTGGGCTGGCGAGTGCCACGTAACACAGCAGTTACCGCATAGTCTTTAGTCTATATTACACACACACACACACACACATATATATATATATATATATATATATACAGTTAAAGAATTTGTACGCATTACTTATCGAAAAGGTTTACTTTTTAGTTGCTTTTCACAATAAAGAATTCCTATTATATCTATCTATATCTATATGCCATCATATCAGCTCTTTCACTACTCAAATATATCAAATGCATTCATTAAAGTAATCCTTTTGTATCATTTATGCACCTGCGTGACAGCCACGACGCTGAGTGGCCAGGTGATAAGCTACAGCCAAATCTCAAACATTGCTTCCAGCACTTTTATATAGCTATAGACAGATGTACATCCAGAACTGAAATTGTGAGCGATATATTTCCACGCTGTGATCCGTTGAGGTTTTGGCCACGCCCACATCATGACATATTTCCAGTGTCCAGCTTTAAGATGATTCTTAGCTGTTCAGCAGATGGTAATGCCTTGGTAACTCCATTTACACTCTCTAGCTGCATGATTTTGGATTAGATGAACGACGATCCTGAGCCCCGCCATGAAGCCACTGTCAAGAGAACTAAGCTAAAACTGACTGATTTGAGCAACTTTTTAGGCATTTCTCAGTTGTTCTCGAGTATAAAGCAAAAAAATTTCAATATCACTAAAATTTTGCAAACTGCATTTATTTGTTGTTGGTTGTTGTTGTTGTTATTGTAGTTCTTTTTGTTTACTCACAATCGATTTTGAAATTTAGTTTTTGAGATTCAAATACAAGATGCCATGCATATTGTTATTGTTGTTGTTGTACAATACATAGAAGGAAACGTGTGTAGCTGTGTGGGTGTTAAAGGGCGCGCGCGTGTGCGTGTGTGTGTGTGTAGGCTTAACGTTGTTTGCGCATATAATCTATATAGATATAGATATAGATATATATATGTTGTGTTATATATATTCATACATATATATCTATATTTAAATTTATTAATACATATAGACATATATATATATGTATATACATAAATATATATATATATATTCATATATATAATAAACAATTTAACATGACCGTACTGTCTTCGTGTGCCTGCCGCTGCCGCCGCTGCTGCTGCAGTCGACACTGATGTTGTTTCCGTTATATTGCCGCCGCCGTAACTTGTGGCCAACGCCTGAGGCTGACTCAAAGGATTTCACTAATATACATTTATATACACACATACATAAATATATATAAAGTATGTCTATAGAAGCAACTATGTATATATATATATATTTATATATAAATATATGTGTGTGTGCATTTGTGTGTGTGTGTGTACAGAGTATATGTAAGGAAGGACAAGGCGTTAGGGGCTGGGTTTGAAGGGCAACCTGCAAATCGTGAGAACTAAGCGGACGCATATAATTTATATAAGATATATGTAATAGTTTTAATATATATATATATTTACATACACACGCGCACGCACACGCACACGCACAAACGCACGCACATACGCACATATTTAGATATCCAGCTGGAGCTAGCTGACGCTAGAGCAAACCATCCCACTAACTTAACCAATCCCCTCTCATGCAGCGCGAATAGAACGTTGATCGAAGTGACCTAAGCAGAGACTGTAGATTATATAGATTTTAGATTACAGTTTACATCTTTTTTTCTATAGATTACAAATGACAGGTTCTATATACAAGAATCAAGAATCAAGAATCAAGAATCAAGAATCCGTAGGCTCGGGAAGAGAAAGTGAACAACAAACGAACGCAATGAACAACGAGCGAACGAAGAAGCAACAACTTGCGTCTTTTTTTTTCGTTTCTTTCAGAAGCTGGTTTTAGTTAAATCGAATCTTTTTTCTTTTTTGGGGACGGTGGATCTGTTTTTTTTTTTTCATTTTTCTGTTTTCTTTTTGTTTTCTTTTTTAGATATAGCTGCTGCCTGTATGTATGCTGGCAGATTTATAACTATATAGTAATTAATATAATAATAACTAGGGGCAATCGCTAGGCCTGCTAATCAAATTATCAACAAGTTTTTCTATTACAAAAAAAAAAAATACAAAATATAATATATGCAGCCCGTATACATACATATATATACATATGTATGTTCTATATATCTATGTATATATATTTATATATACATACACGTATATGCATAAATATGTATAGACAAATATATATACACACATATATATACACACACACATGCATATATATGTTTACGGAAAAGAAAACAACAACCAAACACGCAACTTAATATTTGAGTGATTTCTGGGATGGATAGGGTGCTCGCTATAACGTGGTGTGTGGGTATTGGGGTAGTGTGTATGCAGGTAGGTGGATGGATGGGTGGGTGGGTTGGTGGGAGGTTGGTTTGGTGTGTTGTGGTTGTGGTTGTCTGTGTTGTTTTGGGTTATTTTGATTGCGGGTGAGGTGCACACAGGATAAGAAGTAGTAAAATGCTTAGACGTATAAATATGCTCTCCTAATTTTAGTATGTAATAATCACATTAACTGTCGCTGGCTTTGTCATCGTCGATATTGCTATCGCTGTCGCTAACGACAATGCTATCGTTAACGGTAAAGCAACTGCTACCGATATTTTTATAGATGTTTGCATTGTATTGAATTCGGGAGCATGCGGACTACATGTGATGCCACTGCGTTACGGCCACATTCGCATTCTCGTTGAGACGGGCGATCTCCTCGTGCAGGTTGTGCCCCAGCCACTGTAGAAATATGCGATCGTATGCTGCCTTGCATAGCCTGAGCGGGTTGCCGCGCCTCAGACCCTGATCCGTTTCGCCGTACTCGTCCAGATAGGGCGGCTGCACAAAGCAGCCCTTGCCCCGGCCCAGGTAAACCACCTGGCAGTCGCGAATGCGCAAAAAGATTCCCACCTCGGCGCCGCAGTCGTGGGCATGATGCGTACAAGCACCCACCTGCTTCTCGCCCAGCTCCGGCTGGCAGCAGAACGACTGTCCGCACAGTATGGTCCCGCATATTAAGCACATTGTCGGCGTCTTCATCTCCTCGCGCTCGTTGTTCGGACAATAGATATCCGAGACACTGTTGATAAGATCGCTGTAATCCTCGAAGAGCTTCACCAGCTGTGGCAATGGCCGCAGGCATGGCATTATCACCATCGGCTGTGAGTCCGCAACCGCATCCGAAGAGCCAAGCGCCGCCCGTTTGACGGCGTGACGTCTGTTGACCTCGCGCTTAATGTGCGGATGGGAAGCGAAGCTCTGCATTATGGTGGCGTACACCGACTCCATGTCAAAGTAGACGCCCAGATGAGCGTCCATTCCCAAGTACTGGCACATCAAGCCAAAGCGATCTGGCTGGTAAGTGGGGAAGGAGTCGGGATAGTCGACATCGGTGATGCAACGGTAAAAGAGGCAGGCGCAACGCAGGAACGAGCTCATCTGGAGCTTGACGTACGTCACCAGCCTGGCCAGATGATTAGCCGTGCAGTCCGGTGGCACGAATCCCTCGTCCGCTATGTCTAGTTCCATTTCTTCAAACTCCTCGTTTAGCTGCACGTTCCGCTCCAATTGACTGACGCGGTACGCCATGTTGTGCCTTAGATAGAAGATCGCCATGTTGTGCCTGATCTTGTGTGGCAGCTCCTGCACGTACTGCAACATCGCCGCCGTTTGCGTCTCCTCATCCTCTTTTGGAGGACGGGCCAGCTCGGCCTCGTAGTCAAAGCAAATGATCGCCTTTGTCAAATTGGCCAGGAAACACGTCTGCAGCAAGTAAAAGTCGATCATGCTTCCGCTTGGTAGCATCTTCTTGTCGGCTGAAAGTGGAAGGTGATTCCATAATACTCCACTACCATTTGCAAAAGAGACATTTTGTGCACTTACCATCTGTAGCAATCAGAAGATTCGGCATGGTAAATGTGAGCTGTACCAACATGCGGAAGCAGTCCCATTCCAGGACACTGGGTCCCTGCTGGTTGAATATGGTCTCGTACAGCTTGGCGGCCTGCTCGCTCTGGCTATTGATTTGTCCCTCATTCAATTTAGTGGAGTAGAGGGCGCATGCGCGCACCAAGTTACTGACGCAGCTCTGATGGCGCATGGGTAGTTCGGCGTTCAGGGGCTTCTTTGTCGTATACAGGTAGACCTCAAGGGCCTGCAGTGTATAGCAGCAGGTGTCCCAGAGCAGCGAAACGTTTTCCAAATCACTATCAGCCGCAACTGTCGTGTTCTTCGGCTGATTACCGTGCAGTTGGCTCTGCTTGGCGTTGCGCAGCGCCGTATGGAAGGAGCCCATCACCTCGGTGTATTCATTATCCAATTTGGGAGTTTTTATGATCTGTGCGCTGCGCTCGAATTGGGCCATGTTGCCGATAATGCTTTCATATTTCTTGACCACTCTCGGACTGTCTTTCAGTCGCAGCCTGCTTAGCATTCGCATCATTTCAACAAAGCTGTCCAGTGGCATGTAATTCTCTACAGCGTCGCTCATTGCTTGTGTCGCCGCCTGTGGTTGCGAGAACTTGGACAACGCTTCACTGACTGGCAGCACTGCGTTGCTTAGAGTGCGACAGTAGGGGCAATGGAACTCGACGTTCTGTGTCTGGCTCTGCGACGCCCGATTACGCTGCGGCCGACGCAGCTCCTTGGACTCTTCGCTGCTGTAGTACTCCTTCCAGCAATTGTAGTGCATAACATGACCGCAGCAGCTCACATGCAGCGCCGATTTTGGGCCCTCGGGCATAGGAGTTGTGTAAATGACGCGCGACGTCTGCACAAATGCAGAGCTGACCAACGGCTGGTCGTTGCAGCTGATGCTGCAGTTTTCAAAGCAAAGAATGCACTTGAAACTGTTATTGCCCGCCTCACAGATGCAGCGGCGCGGACCCAGGCAGGATATAACCTTGCTTGGATCTGGCATCAAAGCGGCAGCGCCTTCCTCCTCTAGCGGCTCTGGTATATCCTCCCAGTCCATCATAGAGCTGCCTTGCTTCTGAGCTGCACCTGCAGAGCCCTCTTCGCTGGTATTGGCAAACATTTCAGCATTTGACTTCATGAACGACTTTTGTGCGTTCTGCATCTGGGCCATTATCTTGGCACGATGCTCGGCGGCCAAGCGCGAACGTGCCTCCTTCTCTGGGCGAGCCTGCTGCTCGGAGGTGAGTTGCTGATCCTCGCCCTGCTGCGGCTGTTGTGTGCTGCTGCCTGCGCCAGCAGCCGCTGACGAGGAGCTCACATTTGGCGCTTGCTTTGCTTGCAGATCTTTGTATCGCTTAATGGTCCACAGTACAAAATCACGATGTGCTTCCAACTAAAAGTGAACGGTATTAAGCGCTGCACAGGGAAATATGGCTACGTTGAGCACTTACGCGTGGACATCGCGCCAACTTCTCCAGTTTTTCCAGTAGGTCATGTTTTTGCGATCGCTCATAGAAGCTGAGGAATGGGTAATACCCACTGATCTCCTCCTGTATGGCAAAGCCTATCAGATGCAGCACCTGAGCAGGGACAGAGAGAGAGAGAGAGAGAGAGAGAGAGGAGTAAATTGAGAAGGGTTTTCCCAGATTTGATTGCATTCGCAGCTCTTACCTTTTGCAAATGACTCTCGGTAAAGGAACGACTGCGCGGGTCCAATGCACGCACTATGACCACTGTGATGATGGCGAAGAATACGTTGCACTGTAGGATGTTGGCCATAGAGCTGCAGCAAGTTGAACGGATTAGAAATATTGAATTCGTTGTTCCGAATAGTCTGCACTTACATGAAGGCCATCGTTAGCTGTGGCAACATTGGCGGCGGACAGCAGACGAGCTGCTTCTTGAGCTTGCGACGCTCGCGCTGCAGCTCCTCGGCCCTCGACTTGTCTTCCTTGGTATAGTGGTAAAAGTAAACGTTGAATTCCTCGTAAAAGGGCTCCTTTAGCTCATAGACGCCCTTGCTGTCGGCACCGACGGGTTTCTTAAAGGATGCCACCGTATTGATCACATCCTCAATGATGCTGTCGTTGCTACCGCCGTTGCCGTCTGGCAGAGCGCGCGAGAGCTCCGAATGCGAGTAAGATTTGATACAGAGCAGTTGTATTATCTCCTTGCGCAAGCGATCCTCCTCTGAGACGAGCGATACACCCGGCATCCAACGCTCGCCAATGATAACAATCAGCAGTTCAAGAAACTCATCGGTCATGGACAACTGGCGCATGAACTCATCATCCATCGGCGCTTGCAGCAGGCCAGACTCGTAATTCTTTTGAGCCCATGCGACCATGTTGAATTTGTTTAGCAAATGAATAAGAAATTCGTTGCTCTCCATCAGCGAGGCGCCGATCTGCAGGCAAACGATATCCCTGTCCAACATCTCCACGCGGCAGCGCACATTCCTATAGAAGTAAAGCTGATGAAGCAGCGAATAGCCATTGCGTCGCCACATGCCCGCGGCCACCTGGGCAATCATCGCCTGTGTGCAAAGCACTGGCTCAATAATTTCACGAGGCGTCAGCTTAATGTTGAGCGCCTCGGCCTCGGCTAGCAAGATGTCATAGGTCATATCGTGCGCACCCAGATGCAGATAGATGCCAGCGTAGAAGCGAGACAGCGGCAAATGTATAGAAACCGGTCGCGAGGACACATCGTATATCAGACAATTGGCCACATGATCGGCAACGGTCTTTGGTTCCACCTTCTCGCTGCCCACAATGAAGCTGTTGTTAACCAGCGCACGCACCGTCATCTTGTACAGTTTGCGCAGCAGCTTCACATCGCTGGCCGCCCACTCGATCACCTGGGATATAGTCGAGGCCAGTTTAATGTGCAAATTGAAAGCGCACTCCCACTCCGGTTCGTAGTCCATATGCTGGCCCATTTGTCGTGTTATCGACTCCATGCCCTGCATCACATTTAATACGCGCATTAACGCCTTGCAACCTGAACAAATAATGAATTTCAATTAATTAACTTGGGAAATCGATCGATAATCAAGAAGCCTTAGCATTTGCTACCTATTTTTATCAAGGCATTTAAGTTGTTTTTTAAATTAACTAAAATAATTGCCTAGCTCATTCAAGCGCACAAATATGAGCGAGACAGCGTGTCAGCGTGAAAGAGAGGGGAGCAGACACGGACAGCGGAGAGTTGTGAAAGTAGATACTAACCCTCAAGGAAACCATTGCGCAATTCATTGCTAAGTACTTCTGGCTTAAGACTGAGCAGATAGCGCAAATCGTACAATATGTAGTTGGCACGCTTAAAGAACGTCATGCTCGCGATGTTCTTGCTAAAATGGAGCGTGCGATTGTGTATGAAGTTCTCAATGGCGACGTGATAGAACGTATGCAGCAGTTTGTCAAAGATGCCCTCGTGGGCGATCAAATGATGAGCAATGCTTGGCACTGTGAACAACTGTACGCTGAGCGATACAATCGAGAAAGAGTGATCGTGATCATCGCTTATGAAGTCCTCCACAATGGTCGCATAGCGTCGCGAGAACTCCTGTGCCAGCACCATTTTGTTCTCGTACTCCATGAGCATTCCGGAGATAAGAAGACGATGCCAGCATGTGCGAGCCGTCTTCCATAGCTTAACATCGTACTCAAGTATGTGGCGAATGCAGAACGATTCATTCTTTTGCTGCACCAGCGTGGCGAACGTCTTACGGAATAGATAATGACGCACAAGAAACTCCTGGAACCAGCTAAGCAACTGCAGCGCAAATTGCTGGCACGCCACCGAGCTTATATTAAGCACTGACGTGCGCAATGATTGGCTGTGACGGGCATTGGTCAGCAGTCCGCTGGGCGGTATATTTTGGTTCTCAATGGCCGTCTTAAGGTCGTTGCATTTCTTGAACGTATCACACTTGACAACGGCACGGCCCTCGCGATCGATTGCAGCCACGATCTCCATGGCATCCCTGTGACGGCACTTGGCTATCTTTGTCAGTGTGTTTATGACCTGGTCAAAAGTGTGCGACTCGTCGTTATATAGAACTGTACAGAAGTTGGTGCCATCCAGCTCGCCATCTAGGCACTGTAGACTGGCGTTCGGCTCAATCTCCAGATAATTCACACAGAAAGCCAAAATGGCGCTGAAGCAGATCTCGACACGCTCCAGCACGGCACTGGTTATGATTTTGCTCTCGAGTGGATTCTTGCGGTTCGCCTGCGAAAACAAGTTTTAGATATTAGATATTGGATGAGGCAAAGGGCTTTTCTGAATACTCACCAGATGCAGCTCACAATATTGATCACGCTTCCAGGCCTCATCGTCGCCGCAATCGCAACAGCCACCTCCGCCGGAACTGGACATTTTGTACCTGTGAAAGCGATGCGCCGATCGCTTAAAGCAGTTGACGCACAGCACGCAGGTCGGATCGACGCCACATTCGCGGCAGCTGTAGGTGGGCTCACCATTCTTGAAGACCTTGCCACAAACGGTGGCCGTGTTGCCCTCCAATCGCAGTTTTTCGAGCGCTGTCTTCGGATTGTCGCCCAACATGAACTCGACAAGCTTATTGATGATCTCCTCGTTGGCCAGCTCCTCCTTGAACATGCATTTCACTGTAATAAAGTGGGGCAGAGGCGGTAGAGTGTTAATTTGTAATTGATCACGGTCCAAGATAGTAGGAAACAGAGAAGCTACTACAACTACAGCGATCTCGGCTCAACTTTAAACTTGCAAGTGGCAACTGATGAAGCGGACCCAGTCTCAGTGGAGCTGTCAACTTACAGGACCCGCAAGTCACGGCGTGCTTTGACTCCTGCAAGCGCTTGATCTCTTGCAGGAGCTTGGTTGTCTTGGCGCTCAATTGAACTTGCTCTTCGAGAGGCATATAATCAGAATACATGGCGCTATCTTCATCCGACTCATACATTGTTTCGTCTGCTCTTAGCCAGAAAGTAAATAAGTTCATGGGTTGGGGAGAGGATATGCTGGTTGGTTAATTTAAGGATTCAAGATTTCAAGCAAGCGAATATGTTCTTGTTCAGACGGTTCGCTCGGGTCAAGCTAAACGGGTTTGGTAAGTGGTCTGTCTAACGCTAACCCTACATGTACATGTGTAAAGTGTCTATTTGATCTTTTTATATTTATTTAATTTTTTTAATTATTTTTTTTTTTTAATATTTTTTTAATATTTGTTTTTTTTATTTTTTCTTTATATTTTTTTTTTAATTTTTTTTTATTTTTTATTTTTATTTTAATATTTTTTTGTCTGGAGGACGCGAGGCAAGAAGTCCAAAGTACAAATACTCACAAGTTGCTGCATTTGCATCTATAAAAAGGGAAGAGAAGAAGAGAGAAAACACACAAAAATAATAGATACAGAAATAAAACAAAATCAAAGTCAAATTTATAGTAAAATTTTAAGCAAGCAATATATAATAAATCTAAAGAAATCCAAACATATCGATATTATGGAGGGCAATAAGTTCGCCTCTGAAATGTGTGTTGTTAGTTCGTCTGTTAAGCTGAAAGTCTTCATGTTACACATGGTATACCACAGAAGGATAGACCCCCAAGCGACATAGAAATGGGTACGGCAAAACATATGTTTAACCCATGCAACAGTCGACTAACAGGGGTTTTTTTATGCAAACAATTCTAGTGTCTAATGATATAATACTCAAGAACCCAGAGCCACTATAACTATAGTTTGCATCGATTATTTCAAAATCTTGAAACCGCAATAGAAGCGAATGTAATGGAAATTGCTTTGACTTGTGCATGTCGTTTGAGTTCAAATGCATTATGATTACATGTAAATAAATGCTCAGCCCGAAATAATTAAAAAACACATCATCGGCAAAAACAGAAACAGACGCAGAATCAGAAACTGAAGCTGAAGCATCAACATCTGCATCAACGGTGGCGTATGAGTAATGTTCTTGGTTGTTGCTTTTGCCTCAAGTTGATTCGAGTTCATACAAAAAAATATACAAACAATAAAAAAAAAAAAAACAAGTTAGTCAATGTGGCTAAGGCAATTAACAAAAAGGTGACATTTGTACAAGAGCCAAGCACAAAGGCAATGAAAATCAAAAGCCAAATACATAAATGATTCGCGAATTGAAAGATCTGCAAAACAGCGCACGAATAGTCCCTCCTCTCTGTCCCTCTCCCTCTCTCTACATTCCGGCATATGCAAGCGTAAACGCAACCGCAGCCAGAGTAATCCAAAACTTCGACCCAAAGCCAAGCTAGATATTATTGACATCATTCAAATAAGCAAGACACAGAAACCAAAAACAATAACAAAAACAAAAACAGAAGCAAAACGGTTATGAGATACAAAAATGAACCGAAAAAGTACATTAATTCGGCAAACCTTCGGCAAACGGGTTTTGAGGTAATCAGAAATGAAATCGAATCCAATTGAGTCGTATATGTACGTAGTTATCTTTACAATTCGATGCAGTTCAAGGTCGCCTCATTACGAAAAGTGCGAAAGAAAGTCGAAAAGAGGGTTGCCATAGACGTAGCTTTTAGTTTTCGTCTATGGCGTGATAAGAGCAACAGCAAAATTGAGCGAGTGAGAGACAGAGTGATGGAAGGGCGGGGAGCGAAGCAGCGTGGTTTCTCTACAATCGCATCTGACGTCGCCAGAGGCTATCAGCAGCTGTGTTTTCTACCTACAATGTCTGCATTACGTTCACATATTGTGTCTATATTGTCACGTCCAGTTACATACACATACACATACATATATATATATAGTGCTGTCAACGCCTATTGCGCTAGTGCCGCAAACAAATCCTTTTGCATTCCCCATACACTTTGGCCCACTTTTTTGGCCGTAACTATAAGTGCATATACTCAAATTTTTTGCTGCTGCTGCTGCGGCTGTTGTTCTTGTTGTTGTTCTTGTTGCTGCTGCTATTAAACGTGTTGTTGATGCTTATGGCGTTGCAGCCTTGGCAATTGTGCGGAACATCGAAACAAAAGAGTGTTCCAGACGTTCCTTTGTTCCAGTTGCGCCTCAGCTGTTTGCGCATGACACAGCCTCGAATATGCAGTATATGCAGACGTTCCATTAGTTCCTTTATTCCAGCTGGAAATGGAAAAAACTTTCTTGCGCCTTGGAACGCAGTGCATTTTTTTTTTTCATTTTTTTTTTTGCATATATAACGTCGCCAAGATAATAAAACCGAAATTATCAAAATCTATTTTTCGCTATCTGCATTTTCGCTGACTCATTTTCGATAGCCACCAGTGTATTGTAAACACAAACTGACTGTAGGTGGCGTCTTACTTTATTAATTGCATTTCTTGAACCCCTAACAAGCAAGAGGAAACTGTCGCAAATTATTAAGGCGCTCCCAAAAAGAAAGAAATATCTGCCTGATTTATGCACGCTCCGGTCGTGATCACCTAAATGTGTCAGCTGAATAAAGAAGCTTCCGAGAACGACGCCACTGGCCACGTCACCTCACATCGCAGCAATTCAACTCGGCGGCCCATGAAAACGATGACGATAAAAACAATATCGAAATTTAAATATACACAAATACCTATATATTGTTTATGCTTATATACGAAATTGTTAATACTGAATAGGACATTTGACTTTTAGCTAAATCGAGCTGTGCACCACCAAGGAAAGGCAGGAATTATCGTCACTTCAAAGTTTCGAAAAGTAATAATCGGTGTATATGCAAGATTACGTGTCCCAAGTACAGTTCACCATCATTCATTTATTATCATTTCATAATTCCCTACTATAACAGCCGCTGCGTATTTATATACTGATAACGCCGTCAAATTCGCAGGTCAAAAACCCGTTTGCCGCATACCAAATGCAAATCATGTTTAAGCAGATAGCAAATATCCTTATTTTGTATAAATAATATGATCTTAACTTGTTGCATCAGTTCTGTTGTGGCTATAAATAAATATATATATATATCATGTGAATTCGCTTGAGAAGTTATTCAAAGATTGTGTCATTTCGATGCATAAAATAGTTGAAATACGATTAAGACCCAAAGATGACAGATGAGATATGTGAGAGAGGAGTTCGTTGCCGTGGATGGGAGGTCTTAGCTATGTCCTAAAGAAAAACGATTAAACCCCATTTAAATTCCATTCCAAACTCATAGAATGTAAACATAAAGCTTAGTAGCATAGGTTCGTCTATATATGATATAGAAATCAGAACTTGATATTGAAATAGAAAGTTTCAGCGATCGTCACGCCACAAAAAGTTTGGTGCCACCATCCACAACAATCATCCATCCCATTGAGCGAAAGCGAATGAAAGAAATGACTCATAGCACAAAATTCGGGATATCAACAAGGGGTCACGTAATTAATCTAGTATTTAATTTCTGGTATTAACATAATACGATCATTATAAACATATTTGTTTATAATTTTTAGGCAGGAAATGGGCTTATGACTCAGTGTTAGAGTCTATTTCACTGGCTGATGACATATCGGCCGGAAACCAGATTCTGATGTGTTTATATATGCATATATAAGCTCCTACATAGATCAGGAATATCTAACTTCTTAGATGTATAAAAGTTGAGGACAGGAAATCGCTTTGTTGATCAGGCTAAACTGGTTAATGATGCACCTTTGGCGCATGAAATCAGCAGCAAAACAGTTGCATAAAAATCAAGCTATTAGATATATATATATATATATATATATATATAATAAATATAAATGAAATAAAACTATATGAATACTACATACATAGCTTCTAACGGAATGTGGCACAAAACTAGTTTTGTTATTGTTGCTAGGCTGAGCTGGCTGATTTTGTAATAAATAAATGTTGAGTGTGTTGCAGGCGGTGCATAGAAGGTGAGACAGGTAAGCTAGACTACTCAAAAATCGTGCAATCAACTCGAATGAAAGGAAAAGCGGCTAAGCGAAAATTTGCGGAAATCCAATAAACAGCATAGCAGCATAATAGAAAAATAATACGAAACAGATTTCTGTTTAAGAAACATAACAAAAGAGACGACAAAGTACGAGAGAGAGCGAGAACGAGAGAGAACAACAACGTGACATATTCAATGACGACAACAATGAATTCGAATTCAAGAGCACGACTTCAATACAAGTATATAAAGACAACACACACAAGCGCGCACACACACACGCGCACGCATACAAGCACACACGCGCGTACACATTTTATGTGGGTTAGAGCGACTCACCTGTTTCCATTTCATTATGAACTTCGAAAAATTTGGGCGCTAGCTTTTTAAAGTAGTCGATGAAATCGTTGCGTGTCAATGTTCCAGCCTGCAGCGCGAGGCGCCATTCTTTTATTGGGGAGCTGTGGTCATGTTCGGTCGGTGGCACAACAACAACATCTTCCATATCGTAAGGATCCATATTTGGTTTTTGTTGTTACTCGATTGTTTCGATTTAATTCGATTTTGTTTCTCCTCACTCTCACTCTCTCTCTCAGTCTCTCCTTTGCACGCTCTCGTTCTAATCTATATCTTTATATATGTGTATGTATATATTTCTAGTTTGGCTTGTCCTTGGTTCGATATAACAGTTATTTTTTTGTTGTTGTTGTAGTAGTTGTTGTTGCTGCTTTTGCTGTTGATATTGTTTGCTGTTGCCGTTGCTACTATTAGTGATGCTTGCATTCAGGTTGTCTTCAATTTAGCTACTAAACGAAAATAATTAACGCAATTTAATTGTTTGGTTTTACTTTGATTGTTTTGTCGTTTGATTTATGTACATCCAAAAACCGAGTGCGCGCACTGACTTATTAACATACATACAACTGATTTGAGATGAGCTTAGGTATGTATTTGTTGTCTATGTAAGGCAATAACTATTTTTGTTTGCTTTTTGCGGTTTTACTTTTTAATATTGTTCATTTGACAATTTATACAAATGCTGCTGCTGCTGTTGCCTTCCTTTTCTTGTCATTTACATGCATACATCACATACATTTATGTTTTTGCAACTGTTGCTTGGCTATTATGTCAAATAGAATTATTATTATATTTATAATTTTATTATTATTATTGTTATTGTTATTGCTGATTTTGTTATTGTGCATGTACCGCTGCTGCTCCTGGTACTGCTATTGCCGTTGCTGCTGCGGCTGTCAGTGGATAGTTTTGCCAGCAAAACAAAAACAAAACGCATTCACGATGACAGCAAAATGACAATAACGTGTAAGTGCGAACGAGAGCGCGCATGCCAACAACAGTAGCAACCCACAGAAACGGCAATCAAATTTTCGATTAACAGAACAGAAACAAAAAATAGAAATAAAAAAATTTAACTTTTAAACATTCAGCTTGAAACGCAATATATGTATATACATATCAGAATAAATTTACATAGACTTATACATATGTAAATACAAATAAAGATGTATGCATGTATATATTTATATATGTATATATGCATGTACTTGGCAGGCAACAACAACTGCAGCCAGCCTTATTCTGCATGTTTAAACACACTCATATGTGCACAGATGCATATATATATAAGTATATATATATATATATATATATATATATATATATATATATATATATATATATATATGCATGCACATACACGTTCACTTGGACATAGTAACACCCATTTACATTCTCACACATACAAATATAAATATATAATATATATATATATCTATACATTTGTACAGGCTGGTAACCAACTATTTTCCGCTCACTCAATGTAAATGTAAAAATTAATATTATTTTGAGCTAAACATTGTTTTCATTCGTTATGTTCTTCATACACATTTCTTTTCCTTTTCTTTATGCTTTTCACATGCGCATGCATACATTTATATATATATATATAAACATATATATATATATATATATACATATATATATATATATATGTATATATATGCATGTATGATATATATGCGTTTTTATATTTTCAACAAATGCTTTTTTCTTTTGCTTTTGCACTTCCTACGCGAAATAGACAATTGTCGACGCTGGAGGAACGCGGCAGGCAGCTGATGAATTATACAAGCAAGAAAGAAATAAAAACACTCAGCTGCACACTCGCTCACACATACACTCGCACCTATACACATACATACACTATTTCTATATATGCACATATGTGTACATATAGTCTTTTGCTTTGATTTAAATAATTTTTTTTTTTTTCTTAAATCGCAAGCAGGCAGACTGTTCAACTGGCTGCTGCAATTTCGTAATATGCAATGCACGTTTCAGCTTAGCTTTGCTTTGCTTATCCGCTTTCAATTATTCGCGTTAGCTTTTGCTCGCGTACTACGCACTACGATTACGAGACACATTGACAATTTTTATATCGATAGCAACAATAATATCGATATGAATTTGTCCACTTTAAAAAATCCTTTTTACCGTTCAATATTATATATATTTTATATATATATAGTTTATATTTTACTAAATTATATTTTCGATTACAGAGTCCGAAGTCACTATGTCATTAAACAAAAACTCATTTGAAGTAGTTAATAGTGCTCTGCTACACGATTATCGAAAGTTGGGCAGCACATATGCTATCGCATTCGCGATGAATTCGTGATAAAAATGGACTATTGGCAACGTCTTGAGATGACAAAATTAAAGAGTTGCCCACAATAGAGCTAATTTTTTTCATAAATATCGATTTGGCGCAAATTGTCTAGTATTTGATATATTTATATTTTATATAGTTATTATATGTCCACAAAAAAATACATATACTGAGCATTTGACATTTGTAAGGCGACTTTTTATTTTTAGTTAAACATTTGTACGTAATTTATATGATTAACATTAACATATAAGATACCCGTGTTTGCTTAAATATGTATAAATTTACACTTTGTCAATTGACGCGTGTAGCGCCGCCACGACGATTCGCACCGTTTCTCCTTGACCGCTTGCTGACTTCATCAGATGGCTAAATTCCCCGCCGCACTGGTTTGGGCGCAAAGAGTACCTTGGCGGGTTTACAGAGCTCCAGTTCGCTGCCAGGTCGTACAGCAAGGCACAGTTGTATTTCCACCAATGAGGCTTCCGTCCAGACACTGTGCGAGAGTAGGATCGTCGTGCGCAACCGCACATTCGTCTCGTGCTCGCCTTGCTCCGTCATGATGGGCTTGAAGTCTGTCATCTTAGGCACTACGGTGTGCATGTGCTGGTCCGGATACTTGATCTTGATGCGCATGTCCGCTTTCTGGGACTCCAACAGATTATCAATCTCGGCCACGAACGGCACGGCTGCAATCAAGCCGGCTGTCACCTTGATCACGTTGTCCTGCGACTGCACCGGACACGGTTCCAATATGTTAGCCATGCAACGTCGAATCTTCTCATTGGCCGGCGGCAGAGCTAATGGCGGCGCATGCTGCACCAGTGGCAATATCTCTCGGAACACGCGTCCCGGCTTTGGATCGGTAATCGCATCCAACTTGGACAGCAGCGATCGAGTAAAACTGTCCGGCTCCGGCTGCCCCAACTGCGACTTCAGCTTCAGTTTTGGGTCCATCTCAACATCCTTCTGCTCCGTAAATGAGGTGTTTTTACTGCGGGTTCGCATAAAGGCGCTTATGTCTCCTGCCGTCTGCAACAGCATCTGACAGGGTCCGAGCGCGCTTTGCGATCTATCTCGTACCACCAGCACCAGATGGAGTGCACTGGCTCGCAATCTCAGCTGCTTCACCTGCAGAATGTCGCCGTAGTTAAGCCCAGAGAATGTATGCTGGAGCTTCAGACAGTTGCGTATCAGCTCTGCCAGCGATTCCTTGAGCGGCACACGGCTGCGTTGCGTGCTGGCACATCGTTGCATCTGCTCGATCTGTATTTGCGCCGAGAGAAATGTCTCCAGGAAATTGGATGTGCCATACATATCCGAGTCGATGGCGCCCAGGCGCTGAAATCAAAAATTTAAATCAGATCAAGATTGCAATTAACTGTATTCTTCTCTATCTCCCTCTCTTTCTAATCAGTTTTGTTAAATAGTTGCTAAAAGTTGTTAGCTTACTTGAAGATTCGATTGTGCCGTTTTAAGCAGCTCAATTCGATCGTCAGTCATCGTGAATACTTCGCCTATGTGGTTGAGAATCATTTGGAGATATTCAGCTGAACTGCCGACGGCTTGAAGGGCATCTTCAACACGTTTCGTTGTGGACGCTGAGGAGGCGCCCTCGATGGGCAGCTGAGGCACTAGCTTGGGCATTGAGTCGCGTAGGTATGCATAGTGTCGATGCGTGGCCGTGGGCAAGAGGCTAATGATGGGTACCAGGTGCTCGGCGGCGTTGAATACCAGGATGAGAACGCAAAGGTAGGCGGGATCTTCGACATCGCGTTCGGGCGTCTCGAAGAATGGGTGCACGTAGAGCAGATGCCCAGTGACGGCCATCACCAAGTGCGGATGCTTCTGGCCAATTTTCCGCATGCAAGCGTACGTCGAGTGGCGATCCTGTGGATATTTGGCCAGCACATCGAGCAGTTTTTGTACAACCATCAGCAGGCAGGTCTGTGTGGAAACGCGGCAAGCGCCGAGCATAAGGTGCAAGCCCTCGCGCACATCTACGGAGTAATCCTCTAGAGACCCGAGCATAATCTCCAGCTGGTCCTCTCGCAGCACTATGTGCCGTGCAATGGCCGTCAAACTGTATATGGCCTTAAGGCGTACATCTTCGATCTCATCGTTAAACATGTCGACGAGGAAGTCTAAGCTGGTCACTGCGAACTCCGGGCGCGACATGGCCAGCTTGCACATGGAACCAACCGCAGCGGTGCGCACCTCCAAGAATTCATCCTCCAGGCCGTGTACGAGCGCTCCACAGGCGCCGCTGGCAATCAGGGATATGCTGCGCGCATCCAGATGCTCTTGCGGGGCATCGTCCGCCCAACGCTTGCCCGAAGACCATTCACCGCTAGTGACCAAATGAGCCCCACGCTCGTGGGCATTGCGTTTGCGGCGCAGATTGCTCATCAGCTTTTTATCCAGGGTCTGGTGCAGAAACTCACTGCTGACGTGGGTCATGCTACCGAGCAGCTCGGCGGCCAAGACGCGTATCTGCAGCGAGAGATCACAGAGTGCCTCGCACACCTTGCTGAAGGCTGCATCGATCATGCGTATATCCTCGTGATGGCGTTCCACATTGATAATATAGTCGGGGTGACGATTGCCGAGCATGTGTACCAAGCGCAGCGCCTCCTTGCGCACGCACTCGTAATCATCCTTCATGGCTTCGACGGCGCGCTTGTACAATATAGGCGGCAGATGGGAGCCTCGCTCGCCAAGCGTTAGCAGGGCATGCAGCGCCTGCGCACGCACACCCGAATCCTGTGAATCAATGTAGAAAGCTAACTTCCAGACATACTGGCGCTCGCTCTCGTGGCAGGTGGCAAATCGTCCTATCACCAGCATTGCATTCTTTTGCGTATGCGTAGATCCACTGCGCAGCAACTCCTTGGCCAGATGGGCCACCTGTGTGTTGTATGCCAGTGGCACCATTTGACGGCGCTGCTGGCCAATGCGGAACAGGCACATCATACCCTGGGCGAGTACTTTTTGTGAGGTCTCTTTGCGCAGCAGGTAAATGAAGTAATCGATTATTAGAGTGATGCCCTCCTCCGTTCCACATTCGCAGCCCAGGCCCGAAAGGAGCTCGAGCAATTTCACCCGCACTGAGGTGTCGCTGTCTCGCTCCTGCGCCTGATATAGCTGAAATATTTTTGTGGCCGTCTCTTTCAACTCTGCTATCTGCACATTCTCGTAGACAATCTCATCCGTTATCTTGACAAGCACTTCCAGCAGCTCTTTGGTCTGGCTGATAGTGCAGGGACCAATGCTTGCAGCTGGCACAGTACCTATGCCGGGCACAATGATGCTGTTGCCATTATTACTGGCTGGTAGATAGGGATCGAGCAGTCCTAATACTTGAAGTTTCCGTTCGGGTTTTGTTTTCGCTTTGCTTGCTGGCGGCGCCGATGCCTGCAGACGTAGCTTTTTTAACGGCGGAATGCCAACTATTGTCTCAATGAACGATTGGGGTTTCTTAATGGCTAGCGCCATGTTTGTAGTAATGCCTGCGCCTTGCCAAAGTTCTATGGTTCTTGTTTATTTTGTTATTTCTTCGGCACAAACGTATTTTAACAGATTTGTGTGCAATTAAAGATGAGATATGCATCGATACACCAAGCATCGTCGACCTGTTAGCATGGTATATCGATACTTGACCTAATAATTATCAATTCTTAATAAAAATGAAAGAATTTAAAAGTTAATAAATATTATCCAGCTATTTTAAAAATATATTTTTATAGTTTTTCTTTCTTAGTTAATTTATTGATATTTTCTAAGCGTTTTACAATGTTAATGTTAAAAACGATAAGTGCCGCTCTTAAGTTGATCGAAACGCCGTTTACGTCATGTCCACTCATTTGTGCGTTGACGTTACGCCTACAGCGCTTACGTCGCACATGTAGGCTTACGTTATTGGGAAAAGGCGCCTAAATAGTAGCGCTTTACGATATTTAAATTTTCTCTATGCTGTGTTTTACTGAAAAATAATTAAAATAATAAAAATGCAAGACATTTGGTTTTTCTCATACAATTTTCAATAGTTTACTCGTATTTCTTTGTAGTTATACAGCTTACAGTTTGTCTCGTTTATTCATTTATGCGCAAACATCAACCATAATTTACATATTATTGAATTTATTATAAATTAATTTAAGGTTTTCGCTGCAAATGTTGTACAAGAAAGTATGTTTAAGAATTAATTACTTAAGTTTATATCGATTCGCTAAAAACTCAGTTTTCTGGGTATGTTAGGCATAGTAAATCTTAATTGGGGTTTTCCATTGTTTAGGCCATTTGGTTAATAAATAGATTGAAATAGATTTCGTATTTATTGAAATTGGATATATGGGGGCATACATAGTTAGCATTATATATATATTTATATATATATATATATATATATATATATATATATGTGTGTAAAACGCATTAGATGTCGGGCTATATAAATATTTGTATTGATTTTTGTCTCTCTCTTTCTCTCTTCCTCTTAAGGAATCACAGTATCATGCACATACAAATTTCCAACCGACTTCTATCCTTGTATATTGGATTTGAATATTTCCTCATTAGCCGCAAGCAAGCACATGAATGTAAATGTAAATAGAACTTCGACAGGCAGTGCAAATTTCTTTCTTATTTATATTTATTTCATCTTCGGTTTTTTGGTCAGATTTAACAGATTTGGAAAGAGCAAATTCAAGAATATATATATATATATATATATATATATATATATATATATATATATATATATATATACATATATATATATATATATAAATATTTATATTTATGCATTTATAAAAGTGTGAAATTTTTTAAAACTGCAACTTTTGAAATATTCGTTTAGTATTTAGTATTGACTATATTGGTTTTTGAAATCACAATATCTATTCAAAATTTCATATATATATATATATATATTTGTATATATTTATATATATATATATATATATATATATATATATATATATATATATATATATATATATATATATATATATATATATATATATATATATATATATATATATATAGCATATCTGTAGGCATGTATATATAGTCATAGATTGGGTTTTCTTCATGAACTTTAGATCGTTGTTCGCTTCACATGTAAATATATATATATATATATATATAGATATAGATATAGATATATATGTATATATAGATATTCGTATAAATATTCTTTATGTGTGGCGAATGCGGTGTATGTATGTCTTGTGTAGCTGCATTACTAGTTATGTGCCCTATCCTAAGCCATCTTCAATTCTTCCATATTCGTATTTTCATTCTTCATCCTCTTCGTCTCAATCGTTGGGATATGCGTGGTGTTGCAGGTGTTATGAATCTATATATATATATATAGTCTATATATATATATATATGATTTTGTGGGTCGTGTTATGGATTCTTGTTTTGGTCTGTTGTTTCTTGTCATAAATAGCTAATTCAAAGAACAACAACAAAATGCTGTGCAGTGCCTAAATCAAATTTATTTTTTTTATTCATTTTTTTTGTTTTTATTTCAGTTTTTAATCTAATGCAAAAATTTGACTAAGCAACCCTGTATGTTTATAAAGAAATAATCCAAAAGCTTTTAGCTACATAAGTTGCACAAATTTATATGCATATATATATATATATATATATATATATATATATATATATATATATATATATATACATATATATATGTATATGTATATATATATATTTCGCACAGCAAATCAAGCAAAGTTCTAACATATCTCTAATATCCGAACTCTATAAGGATTTATACATGTATATATGTAAATGCATATATGTATGTATGTATGTATGTACGCATGTAGAGTAAGTTGGGTAAGCAGCGCAACTCAATTTTTGTTAGCCATAAATATATATATATATATATGTCTATATATAAATATATATATATATATATGTCTATATATACTATATGGTGTATATATATATATATATATATATATATATATATATATATATATATATATATATATATATATATATATATATATATATATATATATATATATATATATATATATATATATATATATATATATATATATATATATATATATATATATATATATATATATACACCATATATAGTATATATAGACATATACCTTATATACATTTATAGTTTTCTACTTTGTATGTATATAATGCACATTTTAGTTTGTACACTTAAAAAATATATATATATATTGTATTATATATATTCCTATACATATATATATGTTTTTAATATATTTGAAGTCGCTTGAAAAATGTTTAAGAAATTTTGTGTATTTTTTTAGATTTTGTTTTTTTTTTTTGTTTTGTTTCTTTTATTTATTGAAATTAGTACATTTATTCAATTGCAATTTTTAAACTAATTATTTTAAACAAAAAAAAAACACCTTTTTTGGTAAATCAAGACAGTTGGAAAACGGAACGGATCAAAGGCAATTCAGATCGTGTTAGCTGGATCAATGGGTCTATATCTTATCAAACGGAGTTAGTCTCTAGTAGTATATAGCTGGCTGTAAAAGCCGACGCATGTCTGTATATCTGAATGGCAGTTAGTTTGGTTGCCTCGACGCGGAATATGATTTGCTTTGTTCGGCTCGAGGCTTGAATTTCACTAACAATAATAATAATAATAATAATAATGAAAGAGGGCAAGGAAGGTTAGTTACATAACTGGCGGTAGAAATATTACACAATTTAATTATGCTATGGACGTTTTACAAAATCAATTAACTTAAGTATATTATAATAATTAATAATTAATAATTAATAATTAATAACTAATAAGCCGAAAAAGCAGCAATTCACATTTAATTTGACTTTCTATGTTTGCTCTGTGGTATAATATTGTGTTACCTTTTGTTTTTCTTTTATTTATTAATTAATTGTTATTTTTTTTTGTTTCACTTAAAAAGTTAATGGATTTCCAAAATGTCGGCCAGTTAGAAGATCTGCGCTTTGTACAGGCGCATTTTTAGCTAGAGTTGAACAAAGTATGCGAGCTCGAATTCGAATTCGAGTTCGAGTTCGAATTCGATATCGATTTGCTGCCTTTGAACACATATTCATGTTTTGTTTGGTTGTTTGTTGGTTTCTTTGTAAAATGTACAAAAAGTTGGATAAATAGTTAGTTACGTAATGCCCATGCCAAGCTGCGTCGTCGCCAGACACTGCTCGCAGCACAGAAAGCACAACAAACACTTGGCTGGACTGCTACACATACACGGTGCGAAATTAGCAGTTAGTTTCCCTTTTCTTTGCTATATATATATTTTCATCATTTAAATGCAGCAAGCGAAAGCGGAGCCATATGCTAGCTCTCCTCAAAGACTTGTCTATATATAATCCATATCAGATTTATATATATATGTAGATATATTTTATTTATAGTAAATTATTATATATTATTAAACTGTTTGTTTGTTTGCCTGCAGTCGAAATGCATTTTCATTTCAATCAAACAAGTTTTTTCATTTAGAAAAAAAAGGAAAATATTTGAAAAACTTGTGTTAATTAATGAATTAATAATGCAATATTTGTCTTTGCCTTTGTTGTTTTTACATATTTTGATTTTTTCTTATATTTTTTGCTTCATTTTATTTTCAATTTTAAGCCTCGTTCGAGAGTCTAGTCCAGCATAGCGTGAGTGGAGCATATTGGTTTTGCGCGCTGCTAGAGAAAAATGTTGGTTTGAGTCTAGTGCAGTGCAGCGCTACTATTTTTATGAACAGAACTGTCGCAGCAAAGGCTGCGCCCAGGGAAAGCTTCGACTATGACGACGACAGCTTTAGATGCAGCTCCGCCTCAAGCAATCTGATCGCTCCACTGAATTTGGGGCTGGACTCTGTGAACGAGCTCTCATTTGTTTCATTTGGGTTTTAATTGTGAATCACTTCGAGTTGAGATTCAGCATAGATAGCTGCAAGATTTGCACACGAACATACGAACGACGACATACATTATTATAAAAGCTCTTCTAATACATTATTACATTGAGTGTTTCAATTTGCAAAATCAACTAAGAATATTGAAGAAATCAACACACGCACACCCACACACAAACACGTACAAATTTAGTTATACATTCTTAAACGTGCAACAATTTCAATGCAAATTGAATTCATTTTAATATTTTTCATTTGTGTTTCGCTTATGCAGTTTCAATTGTTACAAAAAAGTTTTCTTTTTTTCTCATTTTTTTGTTAACTTATTTTTTAAGCAAATAAAAAAAGCGAAATATGAAATCAACGCAAATTCTACGCGCTTTCGTTATTAATTTAAATTTGCAGACACTTAAAGCAGTTTAATTGTTCTTCATTCACACACGCACACACACACACACATACAGACAGACAGACAGTCTCACACATACACACAGAGAGAATTAGTTAATAAAGTTGGGCGTAGTTTGGGTTTTTTTTGTTTTGTTTTCGTCCTTTTGAATGCACGTATTGAAATCAAATTAGGGCGGCGGCTGCCTGCCACGCCTCTTAGACGTAGGTGGCAACTGCAGCTGTGCTCGCCGTTGCAGCGCCACCGCCGGCGGTGCTGCTGCTGCCGCTGCTGCCAGCGCCGGCTGCATTAGCTGCTCC